GATTGGGCCAACAGGCTCTCATTAACCCCTTCTTGGTCTGTATGCCCCATCACACCTGTCGTGTTCTGACTGCTGCAATTGAAAGACACAACTATTAGTTGGCTAGGCAAATTAAACCATTTACTGTACATTTAGAGCCAGATCCTAATCTGCTGTAATTTGGCAACTCTCCACTGAGGATCTGTTCCTCAGTCACTGTTTCCGGGAAGGACTTCTTTATCAGCAAGAGCAGGGAGATGTGAAATTCTGGTGTCCTGTCTGCTGAATCCTGGTTGGATTTTGTTTCCAGCCTGATGGCGAGGTTGTTGGCAAAGTCACACTGTTCTCAGCGGTTTGACTGCATTTTATTACAACTAGGAACAAGGGAAATTATAGGAAGCTTAAGCTGTTGATTTGTTCGTTGGCATTTTCTCCTGCATGCACAATGGCAGATGAGGCAACAGCTGTAGTGGCCACAATGGCAATTCTGGCACTCCATTTTGTGTGCTCATTTGGTATAATTTAACAGTTCTGAGCAGCCCTGGTAATACATTGCAAAATCCACCAGCAGTATTTTGGGGACAACTAGGTGACAGAGGAAGAAGGATATTTTAGACCATTAGTGGCTGACCAGGGCAAGCTGAATCTCTTGAAGCAGTCAATCTATTCTTCATTTACTGCTTCTTGGCATAATTGAGATAAACATGGCCAAGCAATATATGTAATAACCTTAATACCAAAAAGTAAGGAACTGGGTTCTTTTCCAACCTGTCATCTTACTCATTGCAAGCTCTCTGGGGCAGGGACTGTCTTTGTGTTCTGTGTTTATACAGTGGTAGCACAACGGGATCCAATCCATGTTACGGCTCCTAGTCCTGCAGAAATACAAATAAATAGTATTGGCAGAAGTCACCTCATGTTAGGCTAATCCCACACTCCTTTATATCAACAGTGATACGCCCATTGACTTCAACAGGTGCAGAATCCACCACAAAATTATGTATAAGGGACTTTTTAGTGGCAACCACTGTAACTAGATCCATATGATCACATAAATGAATTGGGAATCCTTTTATTGAACAAACATAGCATTACAGTCAAAACAGAACAGTGGCCCCAGGACAAAGCCAACATGATTTTGGAAGTTGTAGAAAAGATTTCAAATATATGAAATACCTTTATGATGTATTGGTACAACGAGAACTGTGAAAAGAGGTGCTATGTTATAAAGAAAACCACCTTACAAAATGCCTATTCAAAGGTCCTGGGCAGTGAATGCTACAAGTACGTAACCTCAGGAAATTAAGGTCATTCCATGATTTAACATCACGTTGAATACATCCAGAGCTAAATATGATTTGCTGAATAAGCGAGAAACTCAACTGTCTGACTGAAGCAGTCTCTTTTCATTATGTTTTTTAAACCAATCTCCTTGGTCAGTAGCACTGAAGATTTATTTTAAACCCATATTGTATCTGTGATGAAAAAGATTGGTACCATTTACCAATTTCTATGCTGACTCACTTACATTGTCTGCAGTGGCTTGCTTGTTTACTTGAATTAGTACTGTCCTTCAAACTAGCACAGCTGGAACTACACAATGCACAGTTCTGTGTTGAACTTTGCTTTTTTTTTTTTTTATTAAATCGCTTGCTTCTTTTATTTTGCTGGATATCTCACTTACAGCCTCACAGTTGTCAGACTCTCTGCTGACTTTCCTGAAACTAGCGAATTTCATGTATCTTCCAAGTTCCAATCTCCTTCTTTTCAAATCTCCTGAAGTTGTCACTCATGAGATACAATCTAAGGGGCTGCTCTCACTGAAATCACTGGAAGTTTTGCCATTAACTTCAGTGAGGAAAAGTTTGGACTCCCACCACCAGATTCTAATCTGTTGTAAATCCAGAGTAACTCCACTGAAATCAGTCAAACTACTCTGGATTTACTACAATGAAATCAATGAAGTTACTACAGATTTATCTGTCTCCAAACTTCCAAAAATCAGATCACTTACTGGACAGTTACAGCTTCTATCTATTTGGTTACAGAGTTGAATGATTGCATTACCTGCTGCTCCAGTTAAGACAGCTACTTAATTTACAACTGTACATTTGTTGATGATACTGGCTAGCAGAATCAAATGTACATTCTGTTGAAAAGAACTAAATAATTTAAATTAATTTCTAGAAAGTGAAAAACACATTTTGGGCCCTTTTGCAGATTAAAGAAATTGCAGTTTTCAGATTAGTTTGCTTTCTAATATTCAGCAATATTGTCCTTATGGAGAACTCTGTATTACGTGTCATATTAAAAATAACTAATTGATTTTAAAATATCATCTCATGTCATCAAGTGATCCACTGAGGAAAGTGAAGTTTGATTCTTGTATTCCCAATCTCTAATCATCCTTCTGCTCTTGCAATACATCTTGTTTGTAAAACATATCATAAAGCCATGTTTTCCATGATATAGTCTCTAGACTTCACATTCCTAGCCATTCCTCTGTACTCATGTCTTAAAGTCGTATTATTTATATACTGCTCTATGAATTAGCAGATAAAATGCTAAAGGGGTTAAACAATGTATTGAAACAGCATTTAAAATTACAAAGTTAGGAATGATTGGGTAAATCATTATCAACATGAATATGCTAACTACTATCATTTGCAGCTCTTGAAACTATTTTTTAACCAGACCTTGAGCAGTTGCTCCTGAAAGTGTGAAATACAGAGGCATGTACCTTAAAGAAAAGGTGAAGAAGGTTAGTACAGTGATTATTACTTATCAAATAAACTGCAAGTAAGGAACCTTGATAGTAAAAACCTTTCCAGCTACATGAAAATAGAAACTAGAGTTTGTTATCCCCGAAGAAATCTAGAAAATGAATGTATTGTGGGACAATCCATTGATTTGTATGCTTGACTACTTTTTTTTTTTCACTCTGCAAATTAACAAAGAAAATTGGCTCTTACTATGACCTCTAGTGGACAAAATGCAATCAAGCATAAAAGTGACTTATCTTACAGAGACAAGGTGGGTGAGGTAATATCTTTGGGTACATCTTCACTACCTGCCGTATCGGCGGGTAGCAATCAATTTATCCGGGATCGATATATCGCGTCTTGTTAAAACGTGATATATCGATCCCCGAACGCACTCACCGTCGACTCCGGAACTCCACCAGAGCGAGCGGCGGTAGCGCAGTCGACAGGGGGAGCCGCGGCCGTAGATCCCGCGCCGTGTGGACCCCAGGTAATTCAATCCAAGATACTTCGACTTCAGCTACGCGAATGCGTATCTTGGATCGATTTCCCCCCCCCCCCCAGTGTAGACCAGCCCTTTTATTGGTACAACTTCTGTTGGTGAGAGACAAGCTTCTGAGCTTACACGGAGCTCTTCTTCAGGTTTGGGAAACTTAATCAGTGTCACAACTAAATACAAGATATTACAGAATTCTTCCCAGTAGTAATGTGGAAATTTGATCTAATCTGTCACCTATCATATTGTAGAAAGATGATAGAAACTGATTAAAATCAATAGCATTTATTTCATGTTCTCATTGTCTTTGAAATCTTTTGTTACTGTAGGTCTATTCACGTCATTTTTTTTTAACCTTTATAGGTGTCCTACAAACATCAGCTGTCAAGGTAAACTGATAGTAACAAAACAAGGTATCCCATAAAACCCAATACATATATCAGCAGCAGTAGAAAGATGCAATAGTAAACCAATGGTGTATTTTGTTCCTGCTGTTCCCTTTAGAAGTACTGTATCCTGCCCAGGTTTGGCATCAGTTCTGAAGAGAGATACTTGCCCTTCCTCTTGGACAGAAGGAGCCAAATTCGGTAATACCTGGTGTAAACTGAACGAGATGGACAGAGATATACCTTGGATGAGCTTATTCCAAGGTGCTTAGATGCTGATGAATATGTGCATCACTTAGAAAAAATCAAGGGAGAGGAAAAATAACGATCCCCGTACTAAATCCCAAACCAAGAAACTCGGACAGGCTCATCATCATCATTGTGCTGTAACAATATGTTAAAATTATGTTCAAAAGGACAAACTCATACTGAAGGCTGGGCAATTAAGTAAGACATGTCTTAGTAAAAACAAATATTCTACACTGGTATAACAAAAAACAAGGAAGAAAAATGAAGATAAATAAAATCAGCGCATAAATACTATTCCGAAGTGGCTATAAATAAAACAGCCAGAAAGAACTGAGGCGTTTGCACTGTTTTCTAAATTATGCGTGTGGGTCTGCAAGAGGACAGACAGAAGATAAGGATGGGGAAGGAATGTAAGCTCCTAACCATGACGTGCATCGGGCACCTTAAAAAGAACAAACGCGTCAGAATTCAGAAATAATGAATCCAAACTATTGTTGTTTGGATCCAAATCCTTAAACCTGTGTAGGTGTGAGCGCGCTCTGCCCACCCAATTCCCACCCCAGCGAGGCACATCACCTCTAATATGAATGTAAAGATACGATGCAAACAAACAGCGCTGGTTCCCAGCTGTGTTAAACAAGCGGTGGGTAATGTGGTGATCAAACGTTTCTGCTCCAGGGACTTTTAGTCACTTTGTTGAATACAGAGAGCTCTTTGCAGGCAACTTCTCCCAAGTCTTTGTACGCAGAAAGCGGCCAGAAAACAAACGTGTTCTTGGTCCGAGTTTACAACCTCCCTCTCTCCGCAGGCTGCCGTGCAGAGTCTGACGGAGCCCAAGTCATCACCTTTGCAAAAGTCGCGGGCTCCCCCTAAATCCACCCACTTCTGTTTTCCACCCTGCTCCGCTGCCTGAGGAAGAAGGCGAAAATGGTATTAAAGCTATTAGGGCCGAGTGCAAGTTCTGCTCTTGTGAAATATTAATGCGCCCGTGAAATGGAGCTTTTAGCCAAGTGAAGTGCAACCATTTCGCAGGCAAGCGCCAGGGGGAATCCCGGGGGGCTGGAGAATAAATGACCAGTGATTCCCTGGGAGGCCTCATTCCGGGGGAGCCGAGCGGGGAGGGGCTGCGCCCGAGGGCGGGAAAGGGAAGGAGAAGGAAAGCGGCCGCTGGGTGAAGTCCCCCCGAGCGGCCGCCACCCCCTGGCGGCTGGGGACAGAGGCAGAGTCAAGGTGGGAGGCAGCTCCACTCCCTCGCTGTGCCAGGGAGGCAGGAGGAGGCGTGTCCCCTCCCCGCCGCCTCTTCCCTGGCTCCGAGGAGCCGCTCTGTCTCCAGCTCGCCTCCGAGCAGACAGCGGGCGGCAGCGGGGAGAGCGGAGGAGGCAGCGGAGCGGGGCTCTCCAACTTGGCGGGGCTTTCCCCTTCCTCCCTGGCCCCGCGGCGGCACCATGCCGCCTCCGCGGGCCGCCCGCAGCAGCACCCGGGCACAGGGAGCCCCGACGCCCGGAGCCGCGCCCAGCGGGCTCCCGGGCTCTTCCTCTGCGCCCCACTGAAGCGGCAGCGCCCAGCTCCGGGGCTTGCCTGACTCTCCCTCCGCCCCGGGGCGCGGGCAGCCGCCGGCTCCGAGGGGGCGCACGCCCTCTCGCCGCGCCCAGCCCCAGGGAGTCGAACCGCAGGAGGGGCGCGGGGACCCTCCTCTCCCCGCCCGAGGGGGGCATCAGCCGGGGGCCCCGAGCCGCGGCCAGCCGCCGCCTCTTGCGCTCCCCCCTCCGCCCCGCGCAAGCCATGAACTTTGGCCGGGGCCGCTCGGTGGTGTTGAACGTGGGGGGCACCCGCTACTCCTTCTCCCGCGAGGTGCTGAAGGACTTCCCGCTGCGGCGGGTGAGCCGGCTGCACGGCTGCCTCTCGGAGCAGGACGTGCTGGAGGTGTGCGACGACTACGACCAGGAGCGCAACGAGTTCTTCTTCGACCGCCACTCGGAGGCCTTCGGCTTCATCCTGCTGTACGTGCGGCACGGCCACCTGCGCTTCGCGCCGCACATGTGCGAGCTCTCCTTCTACAACGAGATGATCTACTGGGGGCTCGAGTGCTCGCACCTGGACTACTGCTGCCAGCGCCGCCTGGACGACCGCATGTCCGACACCTACACCTTCTACTCGGGCGACGAGCCCCCCGCCGGCGACGGCGGCGAGGACACGCGGCCCCCGGCCGAGCCCCCGCCTGCAGCCGAGGGCAGGAAGTGGCTGGAGAGGATGAGGCGGACTTTCGAGGAGCCCACCTCGTCCGTGGCCGCCCAGATCCTGGCCACGGTGTCCATCCTCTTCGTCATCGTGTCCATGGTGGTGCTGTGCGCCAGCACCCTGCCCGAGTGGCGGGCGGCGGAGAACCGCAGCGTGGAGGAGCAGAGCAGGTACACAGCAGACTCAGTGAGGGAGCCCTCCGGGTAGGACGAGTCACTTATTTTCCCACTGTCCAGTCCGGTGTGTCCAGTCCAGTGTGTCCTGCCGCTCATCCTGACAGTTAATGACTATCAATTATTGAGCACTTAGTTAGCAGTAGCACCGGGATACTCCACCCTCAGCTCCCAGGACTGACAGCCCAACACAAGAACCAGCCCTGAAACTCCCCGGGGAGGGAAACGCCTGCCCTGGTAGGGTTTGGATCCAAACCTCCTTGTACTAGGCACTATGCTAACTCCCGAATAAAAGACCCCCTACCCATGAGCTGACACTGTAATTAACAATTCCCTCATCTGTAAATTAGACGGCTCTGAATTTCAATATTTATTTATTATAGTGGAAACCTCCTAAGGAACACAGGGGAGCCTTGTAGCTATTCTTAGCCTAGAAAGAGGGGGACAGATTCTAATCTCAGTTACACTGAAATAAAAATGGAACAACTCCATACCAGAGCAGCTGAGATCAGAGTATAGCCCATGCTCTTTATAGTTGTATTAGTCTCGAGTGGATCCTGCAACCCTTTTGCCCACCAATAATCATAACCCATAGGAGTAATCCTTTTTAAGTCTGTGGGACTCTTATAAATAAGGATTACTCAAGTGAGGAAAGGGTGTAGGATTGGTCCTCCTAAATGGAGAAAGGCAAACTAAACCCCTAAATTTTAAGAAATAGATTTATTTTGCCCATTTTTGAATATTTAAAAAAATTAAATGCAATATATATTCCATAAATATACTTACAAGGGGCCAGTCCTCCAATATATACTGTACACAAATGCCCCGCTTCTGCAAGTTCTTAAGTTTGTGAGTAACTTTACAGCCCTGCATCCTGGCAGGACCAGATTCTATACATAGACTCATAGAAGTTAGAGATGGAGAAGGTCTGTTAGAGAAATGATTCTGTCCCCTTACAAGTGTATTATATAGTGTCCCAACAGATATTTAAATTGATGCCATACATTACATTTGATCTTAGCCAAAACATATTTAAAAACATTAAGGTTGTGAAACAAAGACATACAGAATTGGTATTGTGGCTTTAGGGCTCAATCCTGCAAGTCTTATAAATATGAGCAATCCTTATTGGGCTTGATTCTGATCTCACACCAGTGTTAAACTGCTGTAACTCCATGGATGTCAGTTATTCCTGATTTAAACCAGTGGGAGAAAGGATTGAAACCCACAGATTTTAATGGGCTCTCTCTCCTAGGTAAGAATTACTCATCTGAGGGAGGTTGACGTATACAAAAAAAAAATTTTTTTTCTGTTCCTCTTTGCTGATTTGTGTGTCAGCAGAAGTTTTCATCCTCCACAGTTCAGCCTATCCTGCTTTTCTCTATAGTGAAGTCATCTTGTCATTATGAAATCAGTCTGTTGCCATAGAATTAATTGGTATGTGATATATTCTGCATTAATAGTCAAATTCATTCCTTGGAAGTATGTTCATGGTTTCCATTGACTTAGATATATGCGTGCAGCTCCAAGTTCACTGTAACTGGGCCAAAAACTCACTGCATGATCAAATGGGGGTGGAGCTGTTGGCTCCTAGTTAGATACAAATACCATGGGTAAAAATGAAAAGATCTATATTTAAGCTTGATATATGTGAAAGTTTCCGGCGGTTTAAAACCTTGCCTTTAAATTGTCCCAAATTATTTCAGATATCTCCAAAGAGTAGTTATGATTTTTATATAACAAACATTTACATAGATACCTAACGGATAGAAAAATATGTGCTGACACACCTAGGCACAATTGACTTTATTCACAATAATTCTTGATGGTGTGCAGGTCAACTGTAAAGTTGTTGCACTTACCTAAATGAGTTTTTATTTACAGCTAAGCATTGCAGGCTTTATACTTAACTTCTAAACAAAACTTAGTATCCCTTCCACAAAAATGCATTATATAACATTACTCACCAGTGTAACCATCTCACATGTATAAGTATTTGCAGGAGTGGGCCCTAGATACTAATAACATACAATGTGGCCAGTACCTGGGGAAGAGAAGGGAAAAAATATTGAAGAGTGGTCTGTAAATAACTGGAAAAAAACAGTATCAGTGGTAGGTTGAGAACTATTTGTGCTGGTGCATGGAATTGCAAAGAACTGGCCTACAGGATAGGGAATCAGGGTTGTGCTTCAACAATCCCTATGCTGCTCTTGCAGGAATCTTTACTATCTAGCCAATGATGTAACTTGGTTCACTTGAGATATACCTTTATTCATATATTATTGCTACACAGATGTAATAGTTTAACACTGAACACATTGCAAATGGGTGCATGTTCTTCCTCTGGTTGCCACCGTACTTATAGGACACTAGCTGAGGTGGCATAGTTCTTACATAGAGTGGCTATCATAATTATGCACTTCAGTACTAAAAAACTCAGGCGCTGGAAGAATGTGAGTTTAAGGCAGAATTGCAGCTAGTGTAAATCGTCATAGGCACGTTGACTTCAGTAAGCTTTTGACAGTTGGCACCAGTTGAGAAGCTCACCCTCAGAGCCCAATCCTGCAAACACATCAGTATTTATTACTTATGTATTTCCAGGATCAGGCCCCAGCACAGCTGTTATCTGGGTTTACTGCCTTCCTGCTTGCTTACATTTGAATTTCCTTGCTTTCACTGGTATAGTTACAATTTAACGTTATTTACATTTAGAGCCAGATTTTCAAAAGAGCTCAGCACTAAAGTTTTCCCATGAAATCCAGTATTTTTTGAAATGTAGGTATCTGCTGTGTTTTTAGTCTCTAGTATGTTCATTAATAAAAACTATCGTCCTTTTATCAGTGCTCTTCCTCCTCTTAAAAAGAAAAAACAAAGAACAAAAAACACAGTGGAACAAAATCTCCCATTAATTTATTTGGTATGAGGGACAAAGAAATAGCAATATTATATTTTTCTCACAGCACTGAGCTGGTGATTATATTTCAACAATAAATTGAGATGTTATTTAAATAATTCAGAAATAAGAATCTTTTCATCTTCTTAGTGTATGCACAACGTGCCTCAAGTGGCACATGACCAAGATTCATCACAGAATGTGGTCCACTGGTTGGATCATTGTCCAGGCCGGGTACTGAAGGGGAGCGCAACATCCCTCCCTCACCCCCCATTTTCATAATGCAAAAGATTAGACGGCTGCAAAAGTCCTCAAGATTGGCATGTGAAAGTTAAGGTCTATCATATGACCGGCATTTAGCACAACTTTTTTTTCCTCCAGGATTTCACAGCAAATCAATTGCCTCAGACTTTAAATTCCATCAGTAAAGTTTAAAAAAGGCTTAATTATTTTTAATATCTATTATAAATTACCTTTTCATTAGCTTTTAGGATTTCCTGAAATTCTACTGGACTTTTAGGGATGAGTCTTGCAGTCCTTTTGCAGAAAAATGTTCCCATTTCAGTTAGCTGAGGAAGGTCCGCAGGAGTAAACCCATTGACACAGTTTTAGGACAAGCTGTGTTTTAGATTCTTTCCAGTGTATTAAGCGCACTCCTCAGATGACAAGCTTTTCTTCCTATGATCCCATCTCTGTTGGACTGGATCTTTGGGTGGCAATCCCCTGTTTTACAAGTATTAACTACAGCCCCAACTGCGTTTTGGGGCCTATATAAGCCCTTTTCCTCTGGGGACCTGTGACCAGCAAACTGATTAAACAAACTTCTAAACGAATCATTATTCATCCATCCAAAAGGTACATAGCACACAGAGCAAAGGGTAAAAACAATAGAGATCTATATATATAGTTCCCCTTACGTACACCTAATCTTTTCTTAGAAGTTTAGTAAATTCCTTTCAGCCCAGTTAGCTCCATCTCTTGTCTGGGAGAGAGCCTGTTTGCTGCAGTTTGTGTCTTTCTCAGAGCATTTCCATTAGTGTCTTCCCCTAGGCAACTACTGACAACCCACCAACAGGTAAATTAAGGTTCATATGATTATATTTATAAATTATATGCTTAATTACTTCAGTCTCTACACCAATACGTTGTTAAGTGCATCATCTTGCGCAACACTCCTAAGATCTAATTGAAAGGCCAACTGAAGTAAGTGGAAAGACTCCCATGGACTTTCACTGGGTTTGGATCAGGCCCCTAGTATTTAGGATATCTAGATTAATCAGGGAGTGGGAGGTAGTTTATCTCCTTGGATATTTCATTATATTCTGGGGGCTCTCTCTTAAAAAGAAGATGAACAAGATAGCTAACTACCAGAGAATTTACTGCTTTTTAAAAATAAATTAACACATACAATAATTGAAATTAACTTTAATGCCCACTCATTTGTGTCAGAACCTTGCTATTCCCCTCCCAATTCTTTACCTGCACATTCCTTATACATTTATAATGTTTCATTTTAAAATGTGCCCATCCTGATTTAGGCATCTATAAACTTTTTATAAAACCATCAGGTTAGAATCAATATTGTAAGAGAGAGACCCACTCTCACACATTAGTAGAATAAGCTATGATGGTTACATTTGGCCTGCATAAAGTAATTCTACAGTACAACAAAGAGATGCACTCTGTTTTCATTGGAAACCACAAAGCTTCATTACAATTTTTCCCAGGCTATTTTTCAATTTTAAAAAAATAATTTATTTCTCGTAAACAGCACCAGACTGGTCATCCTGGCAAGTGAATTGTTATCTACAGAGCAAGTAAAGTATGGACAGAAGCTGGGCAAGCTTCCCTCAAACAGCCCTACCAATGAGCCTTGACCCCCTTCTCTAGGCAATACCACTAAGAATGATAGAGTAGTTCTGTCCACAGCCTATTCAGTCCTTTGTCTTTATGGAGACTGTTAGTAAGAGTGATGTCTACTAGTGCCAACTGACACCAGTTTTGTGTACATGTTCGGATGTGAGCACCCGTTCACAAGAAAAAGGACTGAGATCAACAAACCTTTCACGTGGTCCTCTGAACAGCCATCAGATGAGTTTTGGTCATGATCATTGGGTCAATATGTGACCCAGTAGTA